GTGTGTGTGTGTGTGTGTGTGTGTGTGTGTGTGTGTGTGTGTGTGTGTATGGTGGGTCTGCCTTCACACCGGTGGTTTTTTGACTCCATGTGTTTCCCTCGTTAACCTGGTTAATCACTGACCCATTTCTACTGTGTAATCTGCTGAAGCCCCGCCCCCTCCAGTACCAACCAGATGTGTGCTGATGACATCACTGAGCTGGTCTGAGCCCTGATTGGCTTGGATCAGCTGTTGATAGATAACAGACAGAGTAGTTTTTTGACTCACGTTGTTTCTGAAGGAGTGCGCTCTGATTGGATCCTCGGCAGCCAATGAGCAACTGCTGAGGATGATGAAGAGGAGGATGAGGTTGGTGAAGATGTGGTGGTGGATCAGAGCGTGGCACGCCTTTCGAATTCTGCAGACAGAAGGAGAGATAGAAACATGTAAACCTGCAGTGGTTCAGAACCTCAGGCGGGTTCTGGTAGATGTGTGTTGGATCTCTGAAGTTGGGGACCGGTTCTGTTTGGTTCGGTTCTGTTCTCTCACACTCACGGGTTGGTTTTGCTGAGGCAGAAGAACGCACTGCCTTCTGGGATGGGAACAACCTTCTCTTTAGGAGGAGCGAGATCTGCCATCTTCAGCTGGACTCCTCCATCTGAGAGAGGGAAGAGCAAATGATTCGTCAGATTTCATCTGTCAATCATTGTGAACAACAGGCTCCAGCCAATCAGAGAGCCAGAACTGTCCTTTAGTGTTTAAAAAGGCTGAAACCTGGAAGTGTCCCTGAAACTCTTAGTTTGTAGTTGGTCGTTTGAAACCAGTTTAAGAAGAGAAGCCCAGAAGGACCAGTCCAGTTCAGGGATGGTAACGGATGTAGGGCACAGTCCCTGCCCTACTGTAGGCTGTCCCAATTCACAGGCTCCTCCTACTCCCTGAGAAGGTATAACTCTAACCCTACTGTGTTTCCCACACCGCTGACGCCGTCAGCAAACAGAAAGACAAAGACAGTGGAGGGTTTTCATTTTACGCTGGAGTTTTTTTTTTAAAGGCAGAGTTTGGAAATTTGTTTTAAATGAAAGTTTAGTCACTAAATAAAACACAGTTACAAGAACTGATACTGGAGCTAAACCCAAACTATCCATCCGTCCATCTTCTTCCTCTTATCCAGGGTCAGGTCTCGMGGGCAGCAGCCTCAGCAGAGACCCAGACCTCCCTCTCTCCAGACACTTGGACCAGCTCCTCTGGGGGAATCCCAAGGTGTTCCCAGACCAGCTGAGAAACATAGTCCCTCCAGCGTGTCCTGGGTCTTCCTCTGGGTCTCCTCCCAGTGGGACGTGTCCAGAACACCTCACCAGGGACGAGTCCAGGAGCCACCTATTTCACAGCTGTTCATGCAGCCAACAGGAGTGGCCTTTGGACCACGTAGGGTGTGGTCTACGTGGGCCACAGTCTACATCAGCTTCTACCTATTGAGACGCAGCCAGGGACATCCTGATCTAATGTTTCTCAGTCCACCATCATGGAACCAGCTGTGGGAGAGTCTGGACTGAACCAGACTGGTCTGGTCTGGTCTGGTCTGGTCTGGTCTGGACTGGACTGGACTGGTCTGGACTGGACTGGACTGGACTGTTTGTAGGGATGGAAGAACCAGACACCATCAGCCTGTAGGTGTTCCAAACTCTGCTGCACTCCCTCTGTAGGCAGTATCAGAGACCTGGGTCTGGTTCAGGCTACATTAAGGACCTGGATCTGGTTCAGGCAGCCATGGGTAAGCAGTAGTGGGGGGGGGGGGGGACATGGGTCTGATGCTCCATCTGGTTCTGGTCTGATGGTCTAAGAAAGGAACCGGCTTTATTTGGGTTTATTTCCAAACAGAAATCCAGTCTGGAAAACTGACCATCATCCCCCTCAGGACCCTCGTCTTCCTCATACTCTGTGTCTTCATCGATGTCCACCTGCGGAGACAAAGGGAGCTGTGAAAAGTGAAACCACAGAAGTTTCAGTCAGACGAGTGTGTTGACCTTCACGTCTCCTTCAGCCTCCTCCTCCTCCTCCTCAGCTCCCTCCTTCTTCTTCCTGTGAAAACAAGAGAAACCAGTTGAGATGTGACTTTGATCTGGTATTTTCCCTCCATCACTCACTCTTTCTTCTTGTCCTCTTTGTCTCCTCCAGCCAAATTGTCCACAGCGATGGCCAAGAAGACGTTCAGCAGGATGTCTGGAAACCGTTAAGGATGAAGAACCTTTGAGTTCTGATTCTGGACTGGAGTTCTAGCAGGTCATGGTCCAACAAAGTCCTGGAACCAAACTGAACCTGAGAAAGATCTTTATCTCAGAGAAACTACAGAAAGAGAATCTCTTTTAGGACCACAGTCAGCAGGGGGCGACGATGAGGACCTGAWGGAGGTGTCCAGAAGATGGACCTTCTGTTGTCATGGATACAGTTGCCACAGATGAAGAGGATGACAAAGTAAACGCAGACAATCATCCCAGGAAACACGGGACCGCCGTACGCCATGATGCCGTCATACATGACCACGTTCCAGTCCTCACCTGTCAGGATCTGAGCACATGATGTGCATCGCTGCTGTGACATCATCAGAGACACAGTGACATCATCAGTGACATCACAGCTGCTCAGACGTACCTGGAAGCAGGTGAGCAGCGCCTGCGGGAAGGCGTCGAAGGTGCTTCGTTTCGTCTGCGTCTCGTCGAAGTTGAACTTCCCTCCAAACAGCTGCATGCCCAGCAGAGCGAAGATGATGAGGAAYAGGAAGAGGAGGAGCAGGAGCGAGGCGATGGACTTCATGGAGTTCAGCAGGGATGCCACCAGGTTGGACAGGGCCGTCCAATGGCTGAGGAGACACAGAGTGACATCATCAGAGGAGCCAAGGCACGCCCCCGGAGGCTCCGCCSCCGCTCCCTCACCGTGTGACCTTGAAGATACGCAGCAGGCGAACGCAGCGCAGGACGGCGATGCCCAGAGGAGGCATGATGTCCATCTCCACCAGGATGGTCTCCATGATGCCGGCGCACACCACGAAGCAGTCGAAGCGGTTAAAGAACGCCACGAAGTAATGAGCCAGACCCAGACTGTACATCTTCAGCAGCATCTCCACCGTGAACAGGGACAGCAGCACCTTGTTGGCGATGTCTGCACACAGACACCCAGAGGACAGGGGACACGTCACATCTGGACCACAGGGATGCTGCAGGAAGACACCTGGTTACCATGGTTACATGGAGGAGGGGGAGGAGTTACCCTGGACTTGAGTCAGCCACTCAGGTTGGTTGTAGTGCTCAGAGGCACTGAGGGAGGTGTTGAGGAAGACCAGCAGCAGAACCAGCCAGTAGAACAGCACCGATTTGACCGCAGTGCGGCAGTTTCTGCGACACACTCGGTTCCAGCGCCGCAGCGTCCGGCTGAGACACAGGAAGACACGTGTCAGTGATGAGGACGTCCATCAAACCTTACCTGGAGACGATCCAAACTCACCAGCAGCCCACCTTCATCACCTGAGCGCTGAAACCAAAACACAACAAAATGAGTCGGTCTCCTCCAACACACCTGCATGGGGCGGAGCTAAAGTCTACCTGAACTCACCTGAACTCACCTGAACTCATCAAACCCACCTGAACTCATCAAACCCACCTGAACTCACCTGAACCCATCAAACCCACCTGAACCCATCAAACCCACCTGAACCTATCAAACCCACCTGAACCCATCAAACCCACCTGAACTCACCTGAACCCATCAAACCCACCTGAACTCACCTGAACTCACCTGAACCCATCAAACCCACCTGAACCCATCAAACCCACCTGAACCCATCAAACCCACCTGAACCCACCTGAAGCTATCAAACCCACCTGAACCCACCTGAACCCACCTGTACAGGTGTGCAGCAGTGTAAATATAGTCATATATGGACGTTACCAGCAGGCCTGGCAGCAGTTGGAGTGGTCTTCATCGATGTTCTCTGTGTTTTCAGAACCTGTCTCACTGGCTGGAAGACTCGCTGACAGACAGAGGGACAAACAGGTGGACACGTGGACAGAGGGACAGGTGGACAGGTGTCAGTATAAGTTCTGTAAAACCCCAGAAACATGTTGGATCATCAGACTTTCACCACAGATAAGATGAACTGAGTCCATCAGAACCAAACTAAACCCACCTGACTCCTGAAAATCTAACTTTTTTACCTGAAACCATCTCTGGTTTCAGGTAAAAACCCGTTTCTGGTTCTGACTCAGTTTGTTGTGTGTTCTGTAGTGTGAGCGTCTCACCGTGGGTTTCGTTGGAGTGACTGAACCATCCAAACTTCTTCTTCTTATCAGACAGATCGCCCAGAGATGGACCTGAAACCCAGAATCAGAACCAGGAGGTGAACTCGGACCAACAGTTTGTTTGTTGGATGAGTAAATACGGTTGGTTGGATTCTGACAGGTGAGCTCAGTGATCGGGTCTACAGCTGCTCCAGGTTTGCTCTGAACTCGTCTCAAACAGACAAACCTGCAGGACTCTAGAGTTTCTAACAGGAGGCAGAGCTTCCAGTTTCTGTCTGTGCTCCACGTCTAAATTAGAAAAATATCAACATATTATTATTAGAAATATAAAACAATAAAATGATCTTAAAGTCAATATTTGAAGAACTAATATCACTGCTGTGGCTGCAGGTTTATTTCTCTAAACCAGCTTTTGATTTCTGATAAGAATATTATTAAAAACATGTTTAAAATGATAAAAGCTTTAACAACACAACCGCTGGAAACTTTTCATTTTTATACCAGCAGAGTTTTATACTGACAGGTTGCTGCATGGAGAACTCACTTTTTGAAACTTTTTTTAAAAAACGACGTGAACTGGACTTGGATTTTAGTTGTGTAAAAAAACAGAAAAAAGGTGAAACTGTGTCACAAGAGTGAGGAACGAGCAYCCACCAAGGGGCGCTCAAGAGCAGGAGGGGGGATTACACCTATAAAAACGAAATGAGGAAGTCCCAAAAAAGGACAAGAGGGTGACATCAGCCGTCCAGAGGGAGGACACATCCGTCCTATAAATGAGACAGTTCTCTTTGGAGACAACCTGGGCTCTGGACTCAAAGGTTGAGGAATGTCAGTTGTTTTTGAGACAAAATAAACCTGATAAAACTTGCATCAAACCTACTCATCATTTATTTTTTACATTGAAATAATGATTCACTCTTTCACTTTTCAGAAAGATAAATACTTAAAACTAAACTAAGTAATCATAAGTCTAAGTACTGCGTTTGATACAGAACAATAAACTGAACTGAACAGAGTCCAACAGAAGACCTGAAGTTTGGGAGGAAACCATGAGAGGTTTGAAACCATCATGGAGGAGCTGGAGATGTGACTGTGATGAAGATGTGAGGTGATGAAGATGTGACTGTGATGAAGATGTGACTGTGATGCAGCAGTTAGTGCAGATAAAGCTCGTCCACGTGACCTGATTCTGGGTCAGGATTTCATTTGCAGAGCAGCTCTGTCCCTCTGAGCCACTGAAAAGCTTTAATCTGACTCAGTTCTGCTGTGGGGGGAGCAGACACGTCCCACAACCTCCAGCCTTTACACACTTCCTGGATCATCAGTCTGCTGGAAGCTCTGTGAAGCCAGAGGAGAAATCAGCAAGTCTTACGTGGGTTTCCGTCCTCGTCCAGGTCGTCCATGTCCTCGGCCTGAGTAATCCAGTCCATGTATCCACACAGATCCTCCTCCATCTGCTGCTTCTCCCGCAGCTTCTGGAAGTCTCCTCGAGCCTTGGCCTTCTCCCTCTCCTTACTGAACTCTCTGCAACATTCAGAGAACACAGTCAGACAGCAGGTTCTGACCCATCCCCCGCTGGACATTCTGCTGCCCAGATGGACTCACTGACCCGCTCAGGACTCCCAAGACCAGGTTCAGGACAAAGAAAGAGCCAAAAATCACCAGACTGACAAAATAAACCCACGGCAGCTCAAAGCCGATGGCATCGTTCATCTGCAAACAGAAAAGAGGAAATCAGAACTGGGTTCTGTGTGGACCAGAACCAAACCCTGTGCAGGACTTTACCCAGTACAGCACATCGGTCCAGCCCTCCATGGTGATGCACTGGAACACCGTCAACATGGCGAAGAAGAAGTTGTCAAAGTTGGTGATTCCACCATTGGGACCGGCCCACTTCCCCCGACACTCAGAACCGTTCACAATGCACTGACGGCCGTGACCGGCAAACGCACATGGTACCGGTTCATCCTCGACGTAATTATCTGCACACATGGACCGGATTCAGGTTTTATAAGTACCTTCTTCTTAGGGGAGTCCTGGTGTTGTTCACTGTGACGGACTTGTGACCTGTCCAAGGTACCCTGACCCTCACTGTGATATGGATGGATGGATGATGGATGGATGGATGATGGATGATGGATGGATGATGGATGATGGATGGATGATGGATGGATGGATGATGGATGGATGATGGATGATGGATGGATGATGGATGGATGATGGATGGATGATGGATGATGGATGATGGATGGATGATGGATGGATGATGGATGATGGATGAATGATGGATGGATGATGGATGGATGATGGATGATGGATGATGGATGGATGATGGATGGATGATGGATGATGGATGAATGATGGATGGATGATGGATGGATGATGGATGATGGATGATGGATGGATGATGGATGGATGATGGATGATGGATGGATGATGGATGATAGATGGATGGATGATGGATGGATGACGGATGATGGATGATGGATGGACGATGGATGATGGATGGATGATGGATGGATGATGGATGGATGATGGATGATGGATGATGGATGGATGATGGATGGATGATGGATGATGGATGGATGATGGATGATAGATGGATGAT